GGTAGAGAGAAAAGCCACCTATTTCCCAGATTTACGGCATCTTTTACATTTTTTGGGGTCTTACGTTGTGTTGCAGTAAATGCATGTTTCGTTGTTTGTAGTCCACCATAACAAAAATTGATCCTTGTATTATACAGTCTTGGAATAAACAGCTCAACTCACTTGTGAAAAATGCTGCACAGTTTGTAATTTTAATTTATGATCTTACAGTGACATAAAAATTATATGAGAAGAAATGTGTGGTGTTCTTTTATTATCTCATCATGTTTCATGCCAGCACACTTAGGTAATCTGTGGTGTATAGGAAACGTTTTCAAGTCCTAACTCTTTGAGTCCCAAGGAACACATCATACTTTCATAGGTTCCTACCTAGAGACCCAATAAACGCAAGATGCGCTGAATTTACATCTCTTTTGACTACCCCTTGGGCCTCTGAATCTAAACCACTTGGGACTCAGAGTTAAAAAAAAGTTTTTTCCAGAATTAAGAGTCAGCTTAGTTATGGTGGTTATAAAAGTTTTTAGGTTAGCTAGTTAGTTGACATTCTCATTGCACATTGAACGTAAACATTTGAGTCCATATGTGCCCTGATCCCCTACTCAGTAATTCAAATGTTGGCTGATGACACAAGTCCTGCTTTGACTGCTTATTTTTGTTTGGCTTCCTGCATGGTGCTGTTGTCTGGCCACACCTCTTGTAACATGCTGCTCTGATCATAGTCACAGATTCACAGTCATCGTTTGGTTCTCACCAGTGTCTTCTCATAGAGCATAGTTTAAAATGCTCACTAAGCTATCCATCCATCATGTAGCAGGTCCTTTGCAGAATGTCGCTCTCATCACAGTCTGCCTGAAAGATACTCGGTCTCTCGCCAGTTCTCCCACCTCATGTACTTTCATACTCAAGGAGTCACTGTGCCCATCTTTGTGTCGGTCGGCCTCTGCCCCTCCTTCCTGGTACCATGCCTTCTGCTATAATTTTCACTAAGTTATAAAGATACAAAACATGGTACCTACTGGTGTGTGTTGTAAGCTGATTGCATATATAGATAGACACATATAGATATTAAAGTAAGTGTCTCAGTTTACAGATGAGTAGCTTATGCATAGGTTATATACTAAGGCTTGATGAAAATCAAGAAAGATTGGCTGATAAACATCATCTTGTCTCAGAAGCTGAAATGTTTTGGTCATATCAAGCCCCACTGCAGATTAGAAACAAAAATGGTATGCTTGGGAGTGGTGGAATGACCAACATAAAGATGGGCACAGGTTTTGAGTAACATGAAAGTGCACATGACAGGTTTTGAGTAACATGAAAGTGCACATGACAGGTTTTGAGTAACATGAAAGTGCACATGACAGGTTTTGAGTAACATGAAAGTGCACATGACAGGTTTTGAGTAACATGACAGGTTTTGAGTAACATGAAAGTGCACATGACAGGTTTTGAGTAACATGAAAGTGCACATGACAGGTTTTGAGTAACATGAAAGTGCACATGGTAGGAGAGCTGGCGAGAGTTTTTTTTCAAGCAGACTGGTGTGACAGCGACGTTCTGCTAAGGATCTGCTACATGATGATGATGAGATATACATATACTAACTTACATTGTCAGTAAGGCATGCTAGCATAAGTATAGCCCCTAAAGAGCATATTCATATCAACACTGTGCTACCAGTGCCAGCTTTGAACATTATCAAGGGGTCATGTTCATAACATTAACACTGAGGTGATGTGCTTGAAGAAAGACGCTATTTTAACCATTCGGTAAAGAGTGGGAAGTGATTCTATCAGAGTTTCTGGGAATAGCTTGCACCATATTCACTGAGAGGCAGAAGACCATATGGTAGGATCAGCTCATAAGAATGTACCACAACTCCGAAACCTTATGTGAAAGAAGAGGGTGTTGAAAGAGAAGAGAGATTTATTACTTTAAAGACACACATCGACCAGAAATTGCAATAGTTATAGCCACTACTGTCTGTCCATCAAACATTGGATTGCAGAACTACTCCTTTTTTTTAAAGGGGAGGGGGGGGCCTTACGCTTTGTTCAGGAGCATAATTGTGCTCTGAATGGCAAATAAATAATGAAATAATATGAAACATATACTTGAAAAGATAAATTCTTTTTTTTTTTGGGGGGGGGGGGGGGGTGAGCAGTAATGAAATAAATAGAAACCTGGTCATGAGAAAGTACTTGACAGTATAATTATAAAAAGAAACTTGAAAATACACACAATAAAATATAAAACAGTCATCTGACATCTCTGTAATACAAAACAAGCCCCAGTTACAAACAACGTGCCATCCTCGTACGAGGACAAACAAATTGTATAGGCATTTACTGCGTGCGCTGCAGGCAGAACAACCCAGATGGCCAGTGGTACCTTCTGTGTGACTACTAGCAGCATGACAATAGAGGTGATGGCGGTAACACGAGCTTTTGTGAGGCTGGCATTGCAGGGCTGTTCTTGCTTGTGTGTGCTGAATGATTCCATGAGCATGATCCGGAGGGTAGAGGGGAGCTTTGTACGCAGACAGTGGATCGCGTCATTGCAAAACTCCACTGTGCATGAAGTTACCTTCATCTTTGTACCATGGCAGGTGTTGTTGGCAATGAAAGAGTCAACAGATTAGCTGGCTCTGCCTTAGTTACAGAAGGCCGGCCCATGGATCATGCCGACATTGTTAATGCCAGTAGCGAGGTACTATGTTCAGAGGAATTTGGGACCAGCACTTCCACATCTTTGCTAAGAGTGCTTTGGGAGTAAAGATTGGCAAGCCAGGCACGGGAAGTCATTTCAATCAACACAGGACTAGGACTATCATCCGCGGGGCGTTGATGTATATGTTGAAGGGGAATTCGCCGGTGTGTTGGGAAATGAACAGGCAGACAGACTGGCTGGCTCTGCGCAACTTGGTGGAATACTGATACATGATAAAGCAGACATGGTTAGTGCCTTGTGGGAGAGCGTGTACAGTTCAGTGGAATAGATGGATCACTACAGTCTGGTGAGATTGATGCAGCGGGGAGTCACAAGAAGTTCTGGCATATGCTCGAGGCTCAGAGGGAAGGCAAGACGAATGTTTAATCAGAATGCTGCTGGCACCATTAGTATCGGAACTCTTCACTGGCTGCTGAAGATGGAGACGGAGCGCTTATGGGAATGTCCCGAGTGCTGTAATGTCGGTTCTTGAATCAACTCAACTCACAGCGTGAGAAGATTCATGACAGTCTTTTGTCATAGCATGGAGGGGTGTTAACACATGAACCCGATGCACAGCTGCAGATTCGGCGAGGCATGCTCGCCCACGCCAGTCGGCAAGGCACTTGATGATGTTCACCCTGGTTGGAGTTCGCATGACCGAGGAGGGGCATGATCGCCAGCGCAAGTTAGCATGGCACCCGATAATGATGATTATGTATTACCGCCAATCGATATACAGTAATAAATTTGTGCGGGTTAGTGACGATCGCGACGTCATCTTGTTGCCAAAACAGATGGGACCAAAATGGCGGCATGAGCAACTTGGAAATTGATGCACGATTGTAAGCTTTCACCGTTTCTTTTTTACCATACTGACTGATACTTAAGACATTTTATTGCACAGTATATTTTTCCTATCTCGACTATTATCCGTTACATTTATTTGATTTGCCGTAAAGACTGGAATTCCAGCCATTCGTTCGCATTTGATTTATGACATCAAAATCAAAAAGTTGCTCAGATACTTTAGTCAAAGTTTTAAAATGCCCTCTACACCAATAAAACCAGCACAGTTAGATAGCTGTAAACAAACTCTTTCCAATGGTACCTCATTTAGGCTTGTGTGTCATTTCTGAGCTGAGGTGTGTAGGTTTTTGTGGAGATGAGATGTAAAAAACAGCTGCTAAAACTTGTCTCCCTGAAACAAGGTTTTCTCTGCGCAACTTTCGTTTTGGCTTTGTTTGCATTGGACAAGATAGCAGACAATAAGACTGGCTGAGCCAGCGATTGCCTGAAAAAATGTCACTGTACATTTACCTAGCCACGTACCAGAAAGAAATTTTTTACACAAATGTAAAATTGGACGGAGAATTCAATTATAACTAGCATTACCAGGTACAGTAACAGTTAAAGCCTAAAGCCAACCCTGAATACTTATCGCTATTTTCAATCAAACTGATGTAACAGAAAAACGGGTTCCTTCCCGCAGTTTTCAGCTTTTTATAGTGGGTGAAAATCACACCAACCGCAAAATTTCATGAGAGATTAGGACCCATCCCGAAACCCTAGCCGACATTTGCGAAGCAACTTTCCCACGGTTTCCATGGTAACGGAAATTGCCAAAAGACCGCCAATTGCCGAACACCGTAGTCGCTAGTTGCTGCCAGAATTTCTGTGTTCGGGGGATGGGAAATTATTCCTCTGATAAATAAAATAGTTAGTTGTGTATCCTTTACAGGATGTAGCAAAACCAACCTCATAATTTTTTGGCTATTGTGGTTTTTGTAGGCAAATTTTACGTTCAGTAGTTTGCCATTGCTACTGAGCTGCTGAACGGTCAGTTCTCGGTACCACTGTGCTGTCAAAACCAATGCAGGACGGGGTTTATCATCAATGGCTGAAGGGGTAATAAAGAGAAAAGTAAACTGACACATCTTGCATACATTGGGCTTCTAAATGGGAACCTGTGAACATATGAAGCATTCCTTGGGACTGAAAGAGTTGAGAGTTCCAGAGGTTAACGCTTCCAGAGGTTAACGCTTCCAGAGGTTAATGCTTCCAGAGGTTAATGCTTCCAGAGGTTAACGCTTCCAGAGGTTAACGCTTCCAGAGGTTAACGCTTCCAGAGGTTAACGCTTCCAGAGGTTAACTAGCACTACATGCCCCATTTACCTTAAGACCTGGAAAACGGAACAATTTATTTTAAATTATATGATTAAGTTTAGTATGTAATTTCACTGTACAGCTTTTAATTGTGTTTGTAATATCAACAGAATTTGTAATCGTCCATGATGGATCTCGATGTAGAAAAAAGCATTGATTTTGATTTCTTTGATGAAAGCCCTCAAGGAGAACAAGAACATGTTACGCAGCAAGTTTCTGCTTTGAAACCCCCCCTGCACCCTCACTCGACAAAGCAGTTACCGAAACCTGACAGTGCAGTAAATGATAATAAACATTGTGACAGTAGTAAAGGAGAAGGGTCATCAACAGAGTCTGATTCTAGTAGAGACAACAGTCCTGATCGTTCAAGTGGATCAGACAGTGAGGATGTTATTGAGTCATCTAATACGCACAAGAAAAATGCAGTAGAATCTCGGAACAGCCGTTCAAGGTCATCTAGTGCTTCAAGCGTGGGGAGCAGTGTCAGCTCTAACTCTTCAACAGACATTGAGCAGACGAACAGACGTGATAGCAGCTGGTCAAAATCTGAGTCTTCAGATGTAAGAAATGGCAAAAGGTCACAATCAGGCAGCGATGATAGAGAAAAGCGACCTATAAATCCCTTAGCAAAGCCTGTAAAACAACAAGCTACATTTAATAAGGGCAGACATCGAGAGAATGCTGAGGACAGTTTGAATATGTTTTCTGATAGCGATAGTAGCAGGTTAAAATTGTCTGCCACATATCCGAAAGGCAATAGATTTGCTGAGGAAACTTCAGGAAACAAGGACACAAAACAAGCATGGGATAAGGTAAAGGGAACAAAAGAAAAGAAAAAGATGTCAATATTTACTGAACATTCTAAAACAGTAAGGACAGACAGGCCAAAAACGGCAGTAAGAAGGAATGATAAACAGTCAAACAGGAACCAGCGTAGTAGAAGTCGTTCAGATGATGACAGTAATTCAGACAGCGATATCACAGATGTTTCATCAATTGAAACTCCTAGAAATGAAATTGAAGACAGTAGATATAAACAGAAAATTGAAGAAGGTGCTAGAATGACTTCTGCAGGGGATGGCCATCCCTTTAAATTACAGTTCAAACCTGTGAGTCATGGCCATGAGAAAGACAGTGCTGTTAACTACGACTATGATCCTGATAAGATCACAGGCTTTGATCTCAAGATCCTGATGAAAGCTGTTGGGGAGTTGGAAAAACAAAACAGAGTTCAGACCAACTCTCGGCGAGTCATGTTTGCTCCCGCAAATCTGAAGAGTTCTGAAAAATCAAACTATACATTCGACAGAAACCAGACACGTGATATCGAGAGGGAGAATCACAGGTTACTGAAAGAAATAATTCGACAAGTCAGTGCTGGGGAGCAGAAGAGGCAGTTCCATCGACAGTCAGGAACCTACAGGTTGACACCATCAGCCGTCAACAGGGAGAGAGATATACAGAGAATTGAAAGGGAAAATCTGGTAAGTTTTTTGCATTTGCCAGTTTGTTGTTCAATAATAGGAACAAATTTGATGGATTATAAAAATAAAATTGTTATCCAGTAAACTTTGTGTCTCAGTGGTTGCACTTGATACCTCTTCCAAACCTGACACTGAAAGGCAGAACAGGGCTAGAGAAGAAGAATAAGACTACAAATGCTTGAAATCACCAGCTGAAAAGGGGAAGGCCAATCACAGAGGAATGGAGGCGGGTGATGTCAGATGACTTTAAAGAACAACAAATGAAGTGGTTTGGACACCTAACAAGAATGCCCTGGTACTATCTACCACAGCGAGCCACACTAAAACGTTACAACGGGTATAGAGTGAGCAGAAGACCTCGAACAAGATTGAGCATTAAGAACAGCCTTACAGAAATGAACATCAATCCTAATAGTACTTTTGTCAGAGCTCATCAACGAATGTTACATCTTCCACGACACTTCGCTGAGGTACTGGGTGGAAGAGAAAAAGAAGATGATGTCTGCAACAATGACCCTCAAGGCCTCATAATGCTGAAGAAGAAGAATAAAAAGGAAAGATGACGGATAGATAGTAACGAGCATACACTGCCTGATTCTGGTGATCTGAGGTTCATATTCTTGTCAAGATGGGATACGATCAAAAATGTACTCTTGTCTCTCCATGTTTCATTTTTTTTCAGGGAAGTTATTTGTACTGGCATGAAGACAGTGTTTCACCTCTTGTGAATTTACATAACGAAGATTCATACAGTGTGTTGCACAGTTTAATTCCTGGCATATTTTAGGGTATCTCCTATGGATAAGATAGCAGAAGTTTATTAAAGCATATCTTGTAAGGAATGCAGAGACCACATTGCATGAAGAACCTCTGGCACAGCACCTGCAGGCAAGTTTAAGTAAATACCTTGAGACTGCATCTTTGCAGTGGCATCTTGCTGTTGGCAGTCATGGACTCCTACTTAATCATTGAAGAACAAATTTGAGATTTTAAACTGAGATGTTACAGAAAAATTCTTAGGATACCATAGACTAAGAAGAAGGAAAACGCTGACTTCTACATGATCTGAGCATCAAAGAGAATTGGCTCATAAACAGCATCTTGTCCCAAATGCTAGGGCATTGTTGCCATGGTGGTCTGGAGAGAACCGTGATGGAGGGTAGTTTCCAGAAAATGTGGCAGAGGCAGACCTCAGTGGGAGTGGATACAAGACCCTGAAGATGCATTGGCTATGATAGCAAGTAGGTCTAGAGAAGAGTGAGAGAGACTTTGAGATGTGTAGTGATGAGAACGACGTTCTGCAAAGAACCAGCCAGTTGGTGCTGATCATGTATGGTTAAATCATAAATGAAGGTCCCCGTGTGGGTTCCGGGGCCCCATTGTGGGGAAAACAAGAATCGACCCACTGCCTACCCAAAAGCATGTCATAAGAATCGACTAATTGGGAAGCTTCCTTTGAAGTCGGAGTGTGTCTGCCTGAGAGGCAAGGAACCAACAGTCTGCATTCAAGTGAATCAGATCTGAAAACTAATGCACACGCAACACTCAGGTTCTGGAGCAGGACTGCAGTTCAGAAGTGGAGGAACAACCAGAACTTTCCACCAGAGTGTACAGCTGGTGAATACCAAGAAGAGGAAGATAAATGAAGGTTGAGTTGTTTGGTACTGAATGTGGCAAAGAAAACAACTATTCTCTGGTAAAACAGGTTTTCTTATGCATTTGAATGTTGTATCTTTTACAGCATAAAGCATTTCTAAGAATTGTGTTGTCATTTCAGGCATTTCTGAAACGTCTGCAGGAAGTCAGGCCTACCAAATCTATATGTAGAGATCAACAACTGAGAGCTTATGAGACTACTGTTTTCCATGGTGTCCCCGTTGCAGCACTGCATCACATATCAAATGGAAAACGTTCACGAAATGATGCAGTAGATAGTGCAAGCACATTAGGTGGAGGACGTGCCGAAAGTGCAACCAGCATAAGCAGGTGATATGTGTGGTTTATGTAAAGGCATAATAGATCTCCAGGGAGTGGCTGAAAGTATGTTTAGAAAGCTGGTTCTTTTTCTGCAGTCTGGTTTGAATACTCTGTAAAGGGAAGAAATTGTTTTCTGCCAGGCGCAAAAATAAACATTCTTGACTGCGCAGTTCGTGCTGACTGCACTAGCCATGTGCCAACAAATCCTTAGGTTAAAGACTACCAGACACACCCACTCCTCCCAGTCCTACACCACTCTAAAAAGTGGTAATGTGAGGCTGTAAAAGTGTCTGTGGCTTTGGTGTTGTCAACACGCTACGTAATGCCGAGGTGCCGGGTTTGATCCCAGCCTCAGGCAGTTTGGCAGCAGACTACCTTGCGTTGATTTTGACAGTGGCATCGACAGCCGACCACTTAGAAAGCAGTGGCAAACTATCAACAGCCAACCGCTCAGTGAGCAGTGGCAAACTACTGAACACAATTTGCCTAGAAAAACCACAACAGCCAAAAAATGCCAGGATGGTTCTGCAACCTGTAAATTGACACACAACCAACTTTAAAGGCACTTTAAAAAAACAAACCATCATAGATTTCTTTTTCATGAACAACAGGGATTTAAAGAAAGTTGACCTGGATTTCCAGTTTGGCCCATCCTGAACGGGGTACCAAGTAATTTTTAGGGAAAGTAAAAACAGCTGGCACAGTACTGGCCGCATTATCTATTGCCTGCTGATTCTTCTTTTTCTGCCTTGTGTCTCTCATTGGAATATTTGCCCTCAGCAAGCTCACACCAGAGCTGTTTGTAAACTTGTTTATGATTAAATAGTTCTAAATACAACATAAACTTGACTAGAACGCTCAGTGGAGGGAAATGGAAAAGAACACGCACAAAAACAATTAAATCTTTCGACCAAAGTCTTTGTTAATAAATTATAAATACAACACAGACTGTGACTAGAAAACTTAATGGAGGGAATGGAAAAAACATGCATAATTCCTTGTGTGGGTTCTGGGGCCCCATTGTGGGAAAACAAGAATCGATCCCCTGCCTCCCCAACATGCATGTCGTAAGAGTTGACTAACTGTGGACTTCCTTTGAAGTGGAGCTGCCCAAGTGGCAAGGAACAATTGACTGCACACAGTTAAGCCAGTAAAATGGATGTACATGCAAAACTCAGGCCCTGGCACAAACTCCAAATGGATGAACAACCAGGACTTTCTGTCGGAGCTTACAGCTGGTGGACAAAGAAGAAGAAGACTTACGTAATTACAACCAAACATTTTTACTAAAGTATTAATTAGCGCAGTATTAAATACAATAACAAAAAAATGGTTACAAAACTCAGTGGAAAAGACAACCACCTTTATTTTCTTCTTCTTTTACGTTCAACTGGCTGTAACCTCCTGGCTAAAGTTCTGGTTGTTCGTTCACTTCTATACATTGGTCTTGTTTCAGAGCTTAAGACTGCTATTCCTCTCTCTCTGGCAGATGTACTCCAACTTTGAAGGAGACAAATCTGATAAGTTGACTTTTATGATATGCTTGTTATAAAAGAAGGGGAGGGGGTGTCTATTCTTTTCCCCCTCCACAGTGGGGCCCCAGAGTCCACACGGGGAACCAAACTTATGATTGGTTGGATTTTGCAGACAGTTTTTTATAGTGTGAGCTAGCCAGGTTTACCACAACCCTTAGTTACCTTTATACCTGGTAGGCTACAGTTCTTTGCTGACCCATATTAAATGCATATTACATTGGGCGACTTGAAGTAACTTCTGAAATGTGTTTTGGTCACCAGAAACATATAATTTCTTCATCTTGGTTTGCCCATGTAGGGCATTTGGCACCTTGTATCATGGGTTACAGTTAGGTTGTGATATTTGCACTTTTTGGGCCGTCACATCCGATTTCCACAAACTCCTAACTTGTCGCAGTTTATAACATGCCTGCTGCCACCCCCCAAAATAGGACTTGAAAACACGCACAGGGAGCATATATTTTGAATGAGATTGTCCTTTATTGGCTGCTGAAGAAAGGGATGGAGCACATATGGTCCCAAGTGCAGTTGTATCAGTTCTTGACTTATTCATTGAAATCAAACTGCATTTATTCTAAGACTGTTGATTAGGTGAGATGGTGAACCATGGTTGGCTGCCTATATATGCGCCAGGGACCGGTTATTGGTTAACATTACCGACTACACATCACCCAGAACACCTCCATTCTCTTTCTCTCTCAGAAGATATCAAAGTGAATGGTTGCTGGCTACCCCTGCAACAAATACTCAAAACCTCTTATTATGTTTTGATCTTGTCAGTATCTGTTACAACAGACACACTCTTGTACCACACCAGACATCCTCTTGTACCTCACCAGACACACTCTCGTACCACACCAGATACACTCTCGTACCTCATCAGACACACTCTTGTACCTCATCCGACATTCTCTTGTACTAAACCAGACACCTTCTTGTACCACACCAGACACACTCTCGTACCACACTAGACATCCTCTTGTGCCTCACCAGACACCCTCTCGTACCACACCAGACATCCTCTTGTACCTCACCAGACACCCTCTTGTACCTCACCAGACACCTTGTACCTCTCTAGATACCCTCTTGTACCACAATAGACACAATCTTGTACCTCACCAGACATCCTCTTGTACCACACCAGACATCCTCTTGTACCACACCAGACATCCTCTTGTACCGCAATAGACACAATCTTGTACCTCACTAGACATCCACTTGTACCTCAATAGACATCCTCTTGTACCTCACCAGACACCTTCTTGTACCTCACCAGACACCCTCTTGTACCACACCAGACACCTTGTACCTCACTAGATACCCTCTTGTACCTCACCAGACATTCTCTTGTACCTCACCAGACATCCTCTTGTACCTCACCAGACACCCTCTTGTACCTCACCAGACATTCTCTTGTACCTCACCAGACATCCTCTTGTACCTCACCAGACACCCTCTTGTACCTCATCAGATACCCTCTTGTACCACACCAGACATCCTCTTGTACCTCACCAGACACCTTCTTGTACCTCACCAGACACCTTGTACCTCACCAGACACCTTCTTGTACCTCACCAGACACCTTCTTGTACCACACCAGACATCCTCTTGTACCTCACCAGACACCTTCTTGTACCACACCAGACATCCTCTTGTACCTCACCAGATATCCTCTTGTACCTCACCAGACATCCTCTTGTACCTCACCAGACACCTTCTTGTACCACACCAGACATCCTCTTGTACCTCACCAGATATCCTCTTGTACCTCACCAGACACCATCTTGTACCTCACCAGACACCTTCTTGTACCACACCAGACATTATCTTGTACCACACCAGACATCCTCTTGTACCTCACCAGATATCCTCTTGTACCTCACCAGACACCATCTTGTACCTCACCAGACACCTTCTTGTACCACACCAGACATTATCTTGTACCACACCAGACATTATCTTGTACCACACCAGACATTATCTTGTCCCACACCAGACATCCTCTTGTACCACACCAGACATGTTCTTCTAAACACAGAACTTCTGCTTCTACCACATCAAACAGGCACGCACATAATGTAACATAATTTGCATATTCGTGAACCACTTATATAAAATAATTAAACAAAACCATATAGACAAAATAGTTTTTTTAAACCTCTAATTTATATACTTTTGTTGTTACTCTGCAGTATTGGCTCATCAGTTCGCTGCATGGGATCAGGTCGTAGCAGTCGGCCTACTAGTGCAAAGTCAGGCTTCAGCAGCAAACGGATTGATAGCCGTCCTGCCTGGACAGACCGTTGGTGATGTGACAGTTTTATATCAGATGTTTCAAGATTCAAGTTCTTTCCCTAGGGCAGTCTATGGGAAGAATTGTAATAGTATATTCAGAGTCATAATCTTTTCTTTTTCTTCTTCACTGGCTGTAAACTCTAGCGGAAAGTTCTGGTTGTTTGTCCACCACTGGGCTTGTTCTTGTTCCAGAACCTGAGTGCTGTGTGCACATCCGTTTCACAGATCTGGCTTATTTGTAGGCATACTTGTGGTTGCTTGCCTCTCAGGCCGATTTACTCCTGGCTATGAATGATGTCCCCAGTCAGTCGACTCCTATGGCATGCTTGTTGGGGAGGCAAGTGAGTCTGTTCTTGTTTCCCCCCCCCCCCCCCCCCACCCCCCCCCCCCCCACAATGGGGGTCTCAGAACTCACAGGGAGTGGGCGATGATAACTCCGACACACCTGTATACTGAAGTGAGCCCATCACACACAACAGCCCACTGCCCCCTTCTTTTCTTTCAATCATTAGACTGATCATGTAGCGTGTCCTTTGCAGAATCTTGCTCTCATCAAACCCTACATGAGAGCCTTTTGGCATCTAGATAATAGTCTGCCTTATGTAGTTTCCTGTTCAAGATGTATTCAATATTCTGTTGCCCATCTACATGATGGTTGATCCCTGCCTGTTCTTCCAGGAGTCGTGCCAGCCAGTGCTGTTCTCTCTAAACCACTAACATTTCATTTGGCCAAAGTATTTCAGTCTCCAAGACTGTTATGGGCAACTTTTCTTTGATATCCAACTTTTTCAGATTGTCAGTATTTTTCGACTCCTTGATCCATGATATTCTTATAATATTTGTATAACTTTCAAGTTGAAAAGCCCATATTTACTTCTTCAGCAATTGTGGTCTATGATTCACATCTGTATACTGTTATAGGAGAATGTTCTCAGAATTGTTAACTGCAGACATTGTAAACTATGTCTGAGCAAGCAATAGTTTAGGTAACAAAATACTATTTCTTTGCCTTAGAAATAACATTATTGCACTCCGGGCATCATTGTGTAGATAGTCTGTTTAGCTAGTGAGAAAATATTTCAGTCATTGAGTATGCGATGTTAAACCTGTTAATCCCTCCCCCCTCCAATCCCTACCAGGCAGGCGCAGTACCCAGCCCTCCTCCTCAAAGGATACCTAAACCAAGTTGCAGGTGTTTCCTCTACCTTGATTTGTGGAGCCAGGAGAAGAGTGCAGAGAGAAAACACAACTGGAAAAAAACCAAAGAAAAAATAGACTGAACAAAATAAAGAACAGACATGCTGTCTACATGCAGTAAAGAGATTCCAACTTGCTGGTTGGCATTCCAATGGAAACCAAGCTGTAACGAACAGTGGAAGACATGTGCCGCGTCTTAGACTTCATAGGGGGGTTGTGACCTTCTCGTCTGAAAACCACTAGCAGAGAGACAAGAAGAAGAAGGACTGAGTATGTTTATGATAGCAGGTAAGAGCATCTGGCTGCTATGCAACCATGGTAGACCACGTATGGTTACAGCGTTGCATGTTATATATATTGTTTGTGACATAATTTAATGAATTTTTGTTTTTTAAAATATTTTTTTTTTTATTTTTGCGCTGTTGCCACATCATGACATTTGTGAATTCTTTTTACAAGATCTTTGTTTTGTTCCTTTAATATCAACTTTGAAATAACCAAGCTTTAGCTTGATGTAATTATTACTTTCTGTATCATTTTCATTACTACTTCATCCTCCTCCGTCCACAGATATAAAATGTGTTTGTCTAATTTATATAACTAGACACATAAAATGTAATACTGGCAGTAATATGGCTCAATGTTCTTTTGTTACTTTTCCATTATAATTACTGTCTTTCGTTTCTTGAAATAAATATTGAAATTATTTTATTTTGTTAATTGTTATTATTTACTAACCAGCTTAGAAAATAGTGCATTGAAAAAATGACTTTTTTGTTTGTTTCATTATTTACAAAGGTTCCTATCTTTAAAAGCAAGTGCAAAGTTCCAGTACGGATGGTACCAGTAACTGTCTAATTGTACATCCATCTCTGCTTTCCCTTGAGTGTGCAGTGTCGGCCAGGTCCCCTGGTAACTCCCCCTCCCCCCAAAAAATAATCAGAGGCTTAGCAGAAAGTTGCTGAAAGAAATTAAAAAGAGACAGTTGAAATGTTATCATCGGGGACATGAGAAATGGTCTTTCTTGTAAGAAATTTCTTTTACCCGGATAAGAGTTCAAGCAAGAAAATGGTTAGGGATACACAAATTTTTCTTCACAATAGAAATTCACTGCATCCAATATCGCCTTAAGCTGTCTGCACCGTGTATTGGGCAGAATGTGCCTAGGTGTTTGTGGTCCTGTCTGATATTTATTTTATGCATGTTGTAGTTGAGCCTGCTGTGTCTTGTTCTTAGACACACAATTGTTATATGTTGTTTTCTGTTGAGTCTGCTGGTGGAATCTTGTGTCCTGTAAAGAATAAACAGCTAACTTAACTTTTTTCACTATCAAGAAACTCGCTCTACATTCATCAAGGGTAAAGAGCACTGTTTGGATCTTTTCTCTGGAGCATGCTGGTGTGTTAGGAAATGAAGGAAGTGAGGTTTTTTCTTCGTTGCAGTCAATGGCAATAAACTTCTACCGAAAGTCCTTGGGAGGGGGGGGGGGTGGTCCCACTTCTGAACGTTGGTTTTGCGCTTTTCGTGCATATCCACTGTACAGATCTTGTTTGTTTGTGTGCAAGCTATTGGTTCCTTACCTTTCTGGCAGATAAATTCCGATTTTAAAGGAAAGATCGATCGTATCTCCATTTGCCAGGATCTCACGTGGGAACCCATCCCAAGGAAGACTGCGGTCTTGACCAGCCTATTACGTAACATAACCCTTGACCCATTAGGGTCGTGGAGGTGTATTAATGGAAGCACCAGCACATAAAACCCGCCATCTTTCTCTGTCTTCCGCTTGATGAATAAGTGTATGATAACTTAGTCCTGTCCATTTCTTAATGTTGTCATTCCAGGTTCTTCTTTGCCCCCCCCCCTATTCTTCGACTACCGCCCAATGTTCCTTTGCAATCGAATGATGTCTTCTTATGTGCCCAAACCAAGCTAGCTTGCAATGTTTCACCACTTCCAAGAGAGGATTCTGATGACCAGAATATTTAAACCAACGAAGGCCATTTGCTGATAAATCGCCTGCATCTGGGATCGAACTCGACGCCGATACATGTCACCTACATAAGTAGACATGTTTTTTTTGGGCGGGGGGGGGGGGGGGGGGGGGGAGAAGGAAACAGGGGTGCACTTTGGCCCCTCAAAATACTGAGCATGTACTCCAGCACTGTAAATGCTGACAGAGCAACAATCCGGTCTGTACAAACCTCACTGAAGACAAAGCTGCAAGGTACACGGGAAGATCTGGACTACACGATAGTTTTCATCAAGGCTTACAGCCTGATATTTTTTTTTTATGACAGGGGGATCGAAGATGAAGAAGGTGCAGTACCTTTTAATTCCTTCAAGAGTTCTATTCTTTTTACAGTCAAACTCAAGAGCATTGGTTCTCAACCTTCCTAATGCTGCGACCCTTTCTTACAATTCCTCATGTTGTGAGCGACATTTCATACTCCTCATGTTGTGGCTCCCAAACATACAATTATTTTCTTTACTACTTCATAACCTCAATGAATATTTGCTTTCCGGTGGTCTTTGGCGACACCTGTGAAAGGGTCGCGACCCACAGGTCTCTAGAGCGTTTTTTTTTTGGGGGGGGGGGGGGGGGGGGGGGGGGGGGGGGGGGGGGGTAAGTTTTCCAACTCCAGATTTGGAGTCTGTAGGATGAACATCTCACTAAAGAGAATCAAACAGGTACGTATCCCGGTAACCCTGTTCAATCAAATAGCAATAAACAAGTCATACTGGGGCACCATGAAACTGTTAAAATGACCTTGGCTTTAAGCCTTGCATGGTTGATTTGAGTCAAGAATTGACATCACAGCACTCAGGGCATTCCCATGCGTGCTCTGTCCTTCATCAGCCAGCTCAGAGTTCCAGTACTAATGGTACCTGTCGTCATCTGGTTATATATCCGTCTTGCCTTTTCCCTGAGTGTAGTGAGCCAGCCAGAGCCCCTGGTTACACCCAGGTGCCTCATTCTTTCCAGGTCATAATAATGTTGTTTCTTCTTACTCCGTTGCTTGTTCCCAAAGGGCCCTGACCACATCTGCCTTGTCATGTATCAATTCCCCACCCAGCCTTACATGGGTACCATGTAAAGCTCTGGGATGTAATGCGGCCAGCGTGATGCTGACCAAATCACCTACCAAGTGCCACTGCACTAAAAAATATAGTTCTAGACCTTTATGCCCAATACGCCTTGATGTATGAACAACGGACCAAGATCATGGCACACGGGTAGTAATCCATAAGTGCTCCATTCTTCTTTTAACTCAGGTCTGAGTCCGAAGAAGCTTAGCACAGTGCACAGGCTCTGTAGACCTGCGAGGATCCTGAAATACTTTGGGTAGATTAGCGCCGTTGGTCTACTCTTTTCGATTTCCAACGGCCAAGGGATTTTTTTCTCTCTAGTGCACACGGGCGTCCGAACTCACTACACAGAGACCAGGGGAATTACTAGAAGTCCAGTCCACGTAAAAAAAATTCCAGCCCTTACCGGGGATTGTTTTCGGAACCTCCAGCACTCTAGATGGACACCATGCCCCAAGACCACGCAGCTCACCCCCCCCTCCCCCCCCCCCTTTTTTCCCCCATAAGACTGAAGGTGTGGAAAAGGGTCCTTTACTTTTAGGGCACTCTTCCGAATACCGGCCCCATATTTTTCAAAGACAAAAATAACACCTTGACCTCTTTGTAACCTCTTGAACCCCTTGAGGCTCTAAAAGGAATGTTTTGGACAGTAAATAATATGGGGCCGGTATTCGGAAGAGTGCCACTTTTAGTTATATTTACTGGGCCCACAAAATGAAAACGAAGTAACGTGTAGTCAAATGTGGACGGACCAAGGATGGGTTGCTCTTCGTTCTGTCAAATATAAGTCTAGCACTCTATGCTCAGCACGCATGAAGGTGTGGAAAAGGGTCGTGTGGAAAAGGGTCATTTACTTTGAGTCTTATATTTATTTGGCTCACAAAATGATTACGAAGTAACGTGTAGTCCAGTATGGACGGACCGTGAATGGGTTGCTTATAGTTCTGTAAAATGTCAGTCTAGCTCTTTATGCCTAGCACACATGAAGGTGTGGAAAAGGGTCCTATACTTTTTTAGTCATATGGGGCCCCATATAACGATTACGAAGTAACGTGTAGTCCAGTGTTGCCGGACCGTGGGTGGGTTAACTCTTGAGCGTTGCCGCCCCTGGTAGTTATTGTTAGAGATATTTCAAAACAAGGACTTAAAACATCCGGCTCAAATGCAGCAATACTTTAATAAAACTATACACCGTCTAATATCTTCACCTATATTCAGTGTAAAATTTCATCAAATTGTTAAGTTTTGTTTAAGATTAATATAAATATTATTTTCTAATTAGTAACTGTGTAAATTTAATGCTTTCAATCCGTCTAGCCAAATTTTCTAAAAAGATGGAAGTTGGGAAACGAATGTTTCCAAGACGCAGAGTTCGATAGCAGTCTGTTCCTTTTTAAACAAATGTTTATCAAGCTGTATTTTCCCGGTTTTTATATTTTTTGGGTATAGTATCACAAAAACCCAAGCTGGCGGCTATGGTGAACAACGCAGCGGTGGAGGCAATCTGCTCTGCGACATACTTGTCCAATTATCTGGACACGATGGAAACTCTGCCGGACGATCTACAGAGAAATATCTCCCAAATGAGAGAACTTCACATACGGAGCAAAGGTAAAGGCGGCTCTTTTTACTAAAGTTTGTATCTTCTCTTTTTTTCTGAGTTCCTACCTAAAGAGTCGGTTGGTACTGGGTGTTGTGGTTTACAGCAAGGCTGCGACATATCAGATATGGTATTTTTCCCTTTCGACTCAACACAGAACACCGTCTTCGCATGATTGCTTTACCGGCTGTAACCTCCGGTGGAAAATTCTGGTTGCAGTGGTTGTACGTCCATTTATGAGCTTTAGTCTTGTCTCAGAACTTGACTTTTGTGTGCATCTCCGTTCGGTAGATGTGGCTTATTTGTCTGTTGGTTCCTCACCTCTCAGATAGATGCAGTCTGACTTTGAAAGAAACACCCCTAAACGGATAGTAGTAATCCTAAAGTAATATGTCTACTTTTACATAATGCTTTGTAAGTTGTTAGTTAGATTAGCAGTGAGTCTATTCTTTTCCACACACAATGGGATCCCAGAACCCTCACAGGGAGGATTTTAACAAACACAATTGTTTATTAATCATTACTCAGGATGTGCTTGTCAAAGGACCCTAAAACCTACACGGGTAAGTATGATTGTCACATGATATCAAGGGAGCAGTGGTAACTAGGGATAGATGCTTGCCCGGCAGTGTTCAGGCCTTGGGTTTGATAAATCAGCATAAAGGAGGGTTTTTTGATTGACAGGCACAAACTCCCAGGTCGACTAGACCAGTCCTAAAGTGTGGGAATTAGTAAATGTCCTAGGATGTGGTTTTTTAATATTTTTTTTATCTTTACATTCTGCATTCACTCATAAAAGGGTAGGTGGCATGTTGAGGTTTGCAGCTAGAGAGCGATATCAGCAACTTTGAGCCCACACATCCGATGTCATCATACCTCTAATTAGTCATATTTTACGATATGCTGTTTGGGGGGGGGGGGGGGGGGTTAGGTTGGTATAATCCTCTTTCCCCTTCAGCATGACTCTGAGGGAAGTAAAGGTGGCTGATGTGAGAGAATCATCTCATTTTGATTGATCTGAGAGAATGTGCATTTAGCACCATATGCCATTTTATGATTTAAATAGTAAAGGCCAGGGCTATTCAGCTGGCAGCCTGCGGGCTAGACGTGGCTTAGCAAGTGGCCTGCAGATCATTGCCAGTTGTGTTATTTAAATGATATGTCTGTGCTTAGGCTCAGGGCTCTGGCCCGTGACGATCCCTAGTTTAACAAATCTGGCCCCTGAGTAAATTGAGTTGAATAGCCCTGGTATTGGCAGTCTTGTAATTTTTTTAATTTAAGTTGCATTTTATATCCATTTAAAAAAAAAATTGTGAAAACATTTCTTTAGTTTGTTATAGTTTGATTTATTAAAATTCGTAAAATATTCTGTTGTTTTAATTTGGTTGCTGATATTGTTTAAACAAAAAGAAAAAGAAATTGAATTAAGGAATAATAGTCATAGAATGAGAGGTGACCAGGAAAAGCACTGGTCCTTCCCCAAATTTTCATATACTAATGATAGTATCTGCTATGTCACTATCGTTACTTCCAAGTGTCTTCTTCTTTCTCGATCCTCCTGTCAGAAAACTTTTATCAGAAAGCTGGTCACCTTAATGAAAGCTATTGTGCAGTCCATATCCTCTCGTGTACCATACAGCTTTGTCCACATTGAGGCTGGAACAGGCCACATTGCATCTCTGTTGACAGCAGACAGTTGACAGTGTTGGACCACACGCTGAGAATTTTCTGGTGCCATGCTGCAGGGACACATCTCTGTGTTTACTACACTGAAAAATGTGAACATTTGTTGGCAAAGTCTGTTGTGACTGGTCCTTAGTCTAAATATAACACATTATCCTTCTCTATAGAGGCAATGAGGTGAGTCTTGAGAAAAATTGGTGTGTGTATCTAGCTACCTTTCTTGGATACTAGATCGTGTTAATGTCTTAGTCAATTGAAGAGTTACGTCACTATTTGGTTGTACCATGTCACTGCCGCTTATGGTCAATCTGTCCACTATTTAATTACCTTCTAAGCCCGCAGGGAAATAGAAATTAAAACAGACACACACACACGCTCAAAAAACATGGAGAAGGTAGCTAGAGAGTTAGATTAAAAAGATGTTGAGGACATGGGGAGAGCTGCATGCGATAGCGAAGGATAGAATGACTTGGGGTAAGCTGGTTGAGGGCCTGTGCTCCATTGTGGATGGGACGGATAGAAAGGCAGAAGAAGAATTTAAGGCTAAGTCACCTTGGGTGATAAAAGTCATTTTATAAGTCACGAAAAGGATTCAAACCTATGACGTTTGGCCTACAGGCATCTCGCCACTGCACTACTGTGGCTGGCAGTTTTCTGGTGTACCCATTTAAATCTACTTCATGTTGTCCTTGCAACTCCCATTTTGAGTTTTGGGTTTCCATTATGGAACAAGAAAAAGAAAAAACCCCCCGACAAACATGTTGTGAAAAGTGATTAATTAATTAGGAGTTTGTTGAACTTTGATTTGATAGACAGAAAGGCATAGATATCTCAGCCTAGCTGTAAAGCACCACACAACATGCCAGTTGCCCTTTTAATGGTGAACATGAAAAAAAAAGAAGTTCTCGCAACCAGCTCTCCAACCAGCCATTCACAACACAGTGATCATTTACATTCAGCCTAGCTGCAAATCACAACACAACAAGTTAGTTGCGTAGCCTTTACAGGACGTTGCAGAACCAACCCTAACAGCCTCTGGCTGTTGTGTGGTTTCTCTAGGCAATTTACATCCAGTAGTTTGCCATTGCTTTCTGGACGGTCGGCTTTCTTAATACCACTGTCGAAACCAACGCAAGGCGCATTGCCCGCAGCTGGGATCGAACCTAGCATCCCGGCATTACGAAGCGAAACGTTCGCATCGACTTAGGCACAGAGCCGACACAACATAAAATAAAAAGTTCTCGCAGCCAGCTCTCTAACCAGCCATTAACAGCACAGTGATTATTTGTAAATTTGTAAATGTTTTCTTCTAGCTCTTTTGGACGAGATACAAAATTTGAGGAATACAATCATGAAAGATGGTGGGTCCTCGAAAAAGGCCTGCCTGGCCCTACAGAGGGCATTGATACATTGCCAGGAAATTGGAGATGAAAAGATTGCCTTGGTGCAGCTAATTACAGATCTGATAGAAAACCGCTCTCGGCAGCTTGACCAGGACAGGGAGCATTTAGGTAATGGTGAGCATACATGTATTGTTTAAATGTAGTTAATCCACTGAGCTGCGACTGAGAAGTTGAACTCTTTGGGTCTCAAGGAAGGCATCATGCATTCATAGGTTTTTACCTAAAACTGCAAGTGAAACTACATTTGCTGTCTCCACAAGGTCACTAACAACATAGGAAGAGGCAGGGTTATGAATACCAACATTAGAGAGAGAGCTGGAATAAGACCATGTCTGATTGTACTGACAGACAAAGAATGAAATGGTTCAGGCATCTAGTGAGAATGCAGCCAGACAAATTACAGATGAGACTTTTTACAGCAGAAGATCTGGAAGGCAGGCGAGGCAAAGACCAAGAGAGAGATGGATGAATGGCATAGCCTAAACCTGCAAAGAGATTAACAAATCCGTCACCCAAGCCACCTGAGAAGCGCGAGACAAATACAGAAAACCACGACTCTGGGCTGCAACCTGGTATCAGTGAGACATCACAATGAGAAGTTCTTTCTAACGTGGTGTATAAGGGGATCTTTATTTCTTTAAGGCTGTTCCTAACGCTGCCGTTCCAGATTTGCATGTCTTCCTTCTGCTCTCTATTCGCTGCATTTTATTTCTTCTGTGTAAGTTTCTATGGCAGTTAATAACGGCATTTTCGCCAATTGGACAGACCAACTCATCTGATGCTCTTTCATAAATTATGTGACTAGTTTTATTCCTAGTTCTGCTTTTTTAATTTGATCTTTTCTTAAGTCCGGCAGCTTTTCTAAGACAACTTTGTTACGATTTTGGGCTCATTATTATTTTCATTATGTTTATTTAAAAAAGGGAGGGGGGTGACTGACACTTTCATGCCAGCTTGGCCTGTTGAGTACATGGTGCTACAAACATCAGCCCGTAACAAAGTTCATGATTTTTAATTTCAGTAACACACCAAACAGTTTTCTATGGGGGGAAAAAAGTTCTGCTACTCACTTCAAAATGTCTTTGAAAAAATGGTGCCGGTACTCACCAATAGGTGTCTTTTACAGTAGTGCTGGAAAAAGGATGCCATGTTAGATTTTCACATTCTTTTACCCCCTGTTCTGCCAAATAAATATTCTTCACATGTTTCTCTTTCTGTCCACTAAAATGTACTTCACATTTCTCTCTTCGCACTACAGTATAATTCACATGTTTCTCTCTGCCCACTAAAATATACTTCACATGTTTCTTTCTACCCACTAAAGTGTATTTAACATGTTTCTCTCCCTGCCCACCTTATGTTGCACACATTACAGCAATGTGGTATTTTTTTTCTCCGCTTATGAAATGAAATGTTATCTGAGTGAACTTAAATGAACAGCTTTTTTTTCTATATCCAGATCCTGGTTCTACGAAAGAACCCGAGCCAGAAGAAGTTATTGTTCCTCCAGTCAAGAAGGAAACAAAAGTAGAACCTGAAAAGCCTGAGAAAAATAATGCAAATAAACGGCAACGGCAGCAGAAAGTGGAAACGGTAGAGGAGGAAGTCAAGGTAATCATTTCAGATAGTGTGGACAGTATGGGCGACTGCAGGAAAGCGTATATCAAGACATATCTCAACACACAACAAACCGTTATATTGTGTTTTGTAATAGCTCTTCTTGTCAAAATATTTTATAATTTCCGTTTCTATGTGACTTGGCACTTGAAAAAAGCTGCTTAAAAATCACCAGTCACCATGGCCTTTACAGAATGTCGCTGTCTTCACAGCACATCTGAAAGGCTATTTTTCTTTCTCTAGCCAATTCTCCAGCTGTGTGTGCTTTCATAACCAATGCATCTTCAGTGTCTTGTATCCACATTCACGGAGGTCGACCTCTGCCTTGTTTTCTGAAAAGGGTACCCTCCATCGCTGTTCTCTCCAAGCCACCATGGCATGAAAAATGGCCAGAATACTTCAGCTTTCTGGATAGGATTCTGTTTATGAAGAGTCATTTCTTTTTCATGTTTAGATCATGTAGGAGGATATCAGTGTTTTGCTTTTTCTTGCTCCTGGGTATTCTAAGATTTTGTGTGTGTGTGTGTGTAGCATTGCAGTTTGAAAGCGAAGGTTTTTTATCTTTAAAGATTGAATAAGAGTTCTCCTGTGGGAGTATCAAGTCACTGTTTGGTGGGGGGGGGGGGGGGGGGGGGGGGGAGAATAGACCTCTACTCCTCTAACATTAATGTCGTAAAGGGCGTCTGATTAGGGAATTTCCCTTTTAAAGTCTGAATGTTTCTGTCTGAGAGGTGAGGAACCAACAGTCTACACACAGATAAGCCAAATCTGTAAAATAGATCTGCACGCAAAACTCAGGTTCTGGAACAAGACCCAGTTTCCGGAAGTGGGTTCATTGCCAGAACTTTGTGCTGGAGTTTATAGGTTGTGAGCGCTGAGAAGAAGAAGACATTTCTGTAATGTCTTTTGCTGTCAGCAAGGGTTGTTATAAAGTGAGGTACTCACTCACCTTGGCTAAAGTAGCTTAATGCTGAGAGTTTCGTCTACAGCCGTGTGGTTATTGAACACAAGGAAACATCGAAAGGAAAAGGAAACTTTAACATCATGCATCCCAAGAAACTCATTGTAACAGTCGTTAACTCTTCAAGTCCCAGTGGGTTTAGCATCACAGGCCCAATGGGTAGTAAAGATAGATATAAAATTGGCCCATCATGCGTTAACTAGGCTTCTACGTAGAAACTTATGAACATATGATGCGTTTCTTGGTACTCAAAGAGTTAAAATAGCTCATTTCCCCTTGTGGGAAGAACAAGAATAGACCCACTGTCTCCCTAACTAATTGGGGGTTTTCTTTGAAGTCAGAGTGCATCTGCCTGAGAAGCAAGGAACTAACAGTTTGCATACAAATGAGTCCAATCTGTAAAATGGATGTGCATGCAACACTCAAGTTCTGGAGCGAGTCTAAAGTCTAGAAGTGGAAGAACAACCAGAACTTTCTGCCAGAGTTTGCAGCTGGTGAAAATGAAGAAGGAGAAGAAGAAGAACTCATTGATCCATTGGTAAGAACCTCAGGCCAGCCAGATAATTTCCGTGAACGGGGGGAGAACGATGTTAGAACAAGTTTGGGTTGTAGAGATATTGAGATTGCCCTCACTTCTGTGTTTTCCCAAAAATAAGAAATGCCAACAAAATAATCCGTAGCAATTTTCAGGCTGCTTATAATGTAAGCCCTACCCTCAAATATGAGTACTAGTTAACATTTTCAGACAGATGGCTTTCATGAAACACACGGCGGTCACAGTGAATTATGAGGTAATAAATGAACAAATAAATAATATTGTTGACATTAATGCTTTAAATAATTTATAATCTAAATATAGATTTAAGTCCATGAAAAAGAAAGATATCCACCGAAAAAAAAGCCTTAAGTCATCTTTTGGAACAAACATTAATAGTAGACTGTCTTATTTTGGGGGAAATATAGTCGTTGCGTGTCGGCATCTGTGGCTTAGGCATTGTGAACGCACTTTGTAAAGTCGAGGTGTTGGGTTCGATCCCAGCTACGGACGATTTATCTTGCATTGGTTTCAGCAGTGGTACCGAGAGCTGCCGTTCAGAAAGCAACGGCAAACTAATAAATGTAAAATTGCCTAGAAAAACCACAACAGCCCAAAAATGCTAGGGTTGGTTCTGCAAGGTCCTGTAAAAGATATGCAACTAACTTAATAGTGCATATACAAATTTCAAAGTGAGCTTTCTTGGAATCTTTTATACGTTCAGTTTCGTGCAAATATTAAGATAAAATACAGCCTGTAACTATTTCTGTTTTTTTTTTTCACAGGAGGAAAAGGAAAAGGTAGCAAAGAAGAAGAAAAAACGCAAGGTCACAAAGAAAGAGACGAATCATGGAGATTCGCCGGCAGATTTCCAGATTGATCCAAATGAACCGACATATTGTTCATGCAGCAATGTTTCTTACGGTGAAATGATTGGATGTGACAATGAAAAGTGTGTCATTGAGTGGTACCACTTTGGCTGTGTAGGTTTACGGTCAAAGCCGAAGGGAAAATGGTACTGCCCAGACTGTAGGGGTGATAAGTCAAATGTTAAACGACCAGACAAATAGATGTCATTAATATATGAAAATGTTATATATATATATGTAAATAAGAAGGAAATCTCATTTAACTCAAAGTAGAGCACAGGCCAAGTGAAAATTAATTTGACGATGCCGGCAGCGAGAGCATACAACATGAAAATGGAAGCACCTAGAGGTGGGTTAGAGATAAAAGATTAATTGAAGGCGTCAGTAACAGCCTGAAACTTTACATCACAGCATATCGGGTAACCGAGCGCACCCTGGCTCTGCTACCTATCACCTGTTCAAAAGTGATGCTTAGCGGCACAAAGCAGATATTGGCCAAAGAAGCACAAAACAGCTGACAGGCTGCTTGATGTGGCAAGTAAGTTTCAAAACGAAGACTACGGAGATGTGTCCATGAAACTTGGTACCTTAAATGGCTTAGCAGGTTCTACAACATCGTAAACTGTATGCTGTTAACAGAGAAGCAATTTGGTCGGTTCCCACCTCAATCAAGACAAGGCTGTATGGCACACAGGGAGATTTGGGCTGCTCGATAGCTTTCATCAAGGCTTCCTGATGTAAGTTTTCTGACAGAAGGATAAAAAAATAAAGAATAATGAAGCAAAGACTTGTACAGTGTGAATGAAGCCTTTCGTCTCAAATATTTGTGGGAAACTATCGAAGGATGCTTCCCTTTTCACAAGAACAGGAGCATAATTTCGATATATATGTAGATATGTTTGTAATTGTACCAAAGCAAATATACAGTGGAGTACCTCTCTGCACCAGTGTAGAGGCTGAAAAACTATAGATAAGTTGATATTATAATGTTTGTAAATTCCATATCTGTTAAAGGTGGATAGGAACTGTTTTTTGTGTGTCCTGATTCTATTGAGCTTATTGTGTTCTGTGATAAAGACACCAGGAATGCCATACGGACTGACACAGAAAGATTACCTCTTCTAAACAGACAGGAACACATGAACTGTTTAGGTCCCGCACAACGCACCATGTGTGATTGGTTATTCTTCATATGTACAAAACCATGGTCGTATGATTTGATGCATACTTATATGTATCATTCAAAATGGCATGTTTTGTCTATTTATTTGCCTTTAGTCAGAATATATTAAAGAAATCTGGCAGCCTATGTTTTTACTAGTATTGTAGTCCATTCATTGGGGTAAAGGACCATTTTTAATGCCATGGTGCGTATTGGGCACATAGGGCTAGACCTATATTTTATTGACCACTCAGCACTCGGTGGGTGATATGGTCAGCATCACGCCGGTCACCTTTACTTCTCATTACATTACCTAGGACCCATTTAGGCTGGGTCAACCCGACAGCCAGAGTCATTTTTGAAAAACAAAATCTGGCTGGATGCAGTTTGAACCTACAACCTCCAGGACTGAGGTGTGTGTCTAGCTACTACACCATGGCGGCTCCCATTCACTGTGGTTAAAATAATGTTTCCAAAAAAAATACGAATGAAATAAATGTTATAATTTCTCTTGGTGAAGCCAAACTTCGGTGCATGGAATCAGTTAAAAGCAGGCAGGCAAGAGGTAGGCAGCGATACTAGTGGGTCAGTAACATTGGGATGGAGGAACAGCAGTCTGTCAGAATGAACAACCAGAGTGTGAGTCAGAAAGTGGTGAAGATTCTTTTAAAACAACCTTCATCGTGAAGATGGCAACTGGTTGATTATCTAAACTGAACCAACATGTGTTTACACACTAATCGGAGCACGTTATCTTCATCATTTTCATCAGAATCAAGTATTCTCCTCGTGTGGGTTCCGGGGTCCCATTGTGGGAAAAACAAGAATAGACCCATTGCCTTCCCAACAAGCATGTCGTAGAAGTCGACTAATTGGAATCTTCATTCGAAGTCGGAGTGTATCAGCCTGATCAGCAAAGAAGAAACAACTGCACACAAATAAGCCAGTAAAATGGAGGTACATGCGAAACTCAGACCCTGGCACAAAGCAACAGTCCAAACGGATGAACAACCAGGACTTTCTGCCAGTGAACAAAGAAGAAAAAGAAGAACATCATCAAGTATTTAAACCCTGAGGCCGCGCATGAAACTTTTTAAAATGTAAATAAACCAGACCAAATAAAAAGTAGAAGCAGTTAAAGGTTAATGTTGAGACGATCGTCTTCAATGGACCTGGTTTTATCCCATATGACTTGGTCTCCCTCCACAGAGCGGCTAGCCACCTGCCGCCGAGAGCATTGCACAAACTCCTCAGCTCGGGCCATGATCCCCAGGGATCTCCGTAAAAAATACACGCATGAACTGAGTGATGCAGCTGTGAAATGAACACACAACCTTCAGAGACCTAGACAGAATATTAGATAAAACTGTGTTGGTGGTTATCTGTTGAAGTGTTGAGTCCCCAGTAAAAAACTTCATGATCATTCTATTCTTTAGTTATCTGTGTGGGTCTGCTTTCTTTATTTCCTTGTCTTTCTGCTCTGTATTGATATACATGTGCATGTATAAATGTTTTTCTTTGTCTGCCCTTTCTTGTCTGTCCAATATTTTGCCTTCTCATGCTTTTTTCCTTCTTTTTTTTTTAGCTATAAAAATCTATTTGCCTGATCTCTCATCATTGTCATCCTATCTTGCTGTTATTCGACATATTATGTTCACAGTCTAGCCTTCAATTCTGTTCTTTCCTGTACCATTGATGGCTTTTTTCATAGGAATTAAAAGTTGCCAGTATCCATTTAAAAGTGTCTTAAAAGGTGCCGGTACTCATCACAGAGTGTCTGTTACACAAACTGAACAGCTGATGACCTAAAAAGGTGCAGGTGCTGCGTATTGTTGCATACCACGGGTGGGGAGGGGGAAATAATCCCTGACAACTGATATGAATCCAATCAAGTGCAGCAGCTTTGGCCACTCCCACTACGTGAACTAATTAAAGACCGCTAGCCAAATTATCCAAATCGGATAATTCTTCTTCTTCTTGTGTCCATTTTCTGATTTACACTGACAGACAAGTTCTTTTGATAAACTTGACTGATTTTTATAAGTTCCCTTTCAGTTCCAAACAACTTAGAGTACAGTGTTGACTCAGTGGGCCAGTATTCCCTTCTTAATTCGCTAAATCAGGTAATCAGAGTTTCCACTTCATTGCAAATGGGCAACCCCCATAGTTTCTCTGTTTCTGTTCCCAAAAAAACCCACACAGAATATCAATCATTCCCTCTGTAAACACAATTGACGCATACGACAGTCTCAGCACAGCCAGAAACACACACACGTATGGCGGTCAAAATGGACGCTAGGCAAGGGCACTGTTTAGAGCCAAGGCAAATTTTTTGCTTTTGCTGGACGGTGGCCGATGCATTTTTGCTCCATTTGCAGACTGGATATAGTTTCGTCGCTCAGCTTCTGAGTTGAATGCTTGGCATGACACTGTGAGCTGCAGATTTCATTTGGAATGTTTTTTCGACTGTGACCAACGTGGTGGTGTGAATTATAGATTCATAAAATGGTGCGTGGCCTGTCGTCGCAATGTTAGTGGTGCCCGTATGTGATTAAAATTGATTGCGTGGGAAACTGCTTATCTGTTGGTGACTTCTGCTACCGTCAATGATGAACTGCATTTCTAATGTCGGACTGTTTGCGTTAGCACTTCGGATGGCTACCGTATGCTTTAATGCGTGTGTATGCTAGATATGCTGCGACAGTAGCCTGTCAATCTTTCCACGAGGGACTGTGATTAACATTCTGTGTGTTTTTCGTTGGCACAGGAGCAGAGCAAAGATGGGGTGACCCGTTTGCTATGAAGCTGAAACTAAGACTACCAGACATACACCGTGTATCAGTTGCTTAAGGCAGCTTTAGAAGTGCCAGCACAAACAGTCAGAAATGCAGTTCACCGTCCATGGAAGCAACAGTTAAACAGATCAATAACTTTACATGCAATTAATTGCGTAAGACACCACCAGTTTTCTGGCTACAGGCCACTCGCTGTCATCTGAATCTGCAATTCACAATTCAGACCACATTGGGCGCATTTAAAAAGCATTCCTTATGAAATTCACAGCTCACATTGTCCTGGCCATGCGCTTAACTCAGTGGCTGGGTGACAGAGCAGTAAGTTTTTGTCTACTTATGGAGGAAAATGCAACATCTAACTATTGTCAGAAGCAAAAACTTGCCACCCCTAAAAAACATGAGGCCTGCCTATCTGCCCTCAGATGATCTTCTATAGTTCATGTCATGTAGAGTTGGTAGTCACATCTATCCACAGCTTTCTGTCTCGTGTACTTTCAGTAAATTCTGACAAATATGATGCATTTCAGCATCTTTTCTCGGTCTCCCTCTGCCCCTTCCAACTTGAGGTACTCCAGTTTCTCCTGCTCATGATATGACCAAATAATGTAGATTGTCCCCTTCTGATGTGTGCAGTTAGTTCTCTGCGAGTCAGTTCTTTTAGTTCTCTGTGAGTCATTTCTTTTAGTTCTCTGCGAGTCAGTTCTTTTAGTTCTCTGCAAGTCAGTTCTTTTAGTTCTCTGCGAGTCAGTTCTTTTTGTTATCTGCGAGTCAGTTCTTTTAGTTCTCTGCGAGTCAGTTCTTTTTTTTTTTTTTTATTTATACTCTTTTTATCTGTCCAGGGTGTTCTCATTCATCTTTAAAAACCACATCTCCTCCACTTCCACATAGTTTTTCACTGATTGGCCACCTGCCCATGATTCACTTGCGCATATCAGGATAGGATTTATATAGCTCTTTGAGAATTCTGTCTCAACTCTGTTGATAAAGAGTAGAATCTTTATTTACCTGCTTACTGGTGCCAGGAAAAACTAATTTATTGCCTTGTAATTACTGTATTGAGTTGTTTTGAGTTCATTCTTTAATATCTTGGGTGGAATATTTGTAAACCGAAAATCTGAAAGTTCAAATGGTTTTGAAGGTACAGTTTGTTATGCGAGGCATGGTGGAGGTTTTACAATCAATAAATCAAATTCTGAATGAACCCCATCCGGGTTCCGGTTCCCCATTATGGGGAAAACAAGAAC